GCATAAAGCTTTGATAAAAAAGAAATTTACCTCAATACAAGTTTGGAAAGTTTTCATCTGGTTCACTTAGTGGGAGATCCTTCCGTTTCATTGGTCTAGCTTTTCTACCAGTTTTTGATTCAATTCAATCGTAGAACCACTACTAGCGTCACTCCAACCATAAATCTTCTAGGCCATGCCCAAGCTGGAAGCAACTCACAAGGAATGCATCCGCGTTTATGATCCCCATGATGGTGAAGATAACAAATTCAGGTGCTCTTCTCATTTTTCACTCGTAGTCTAATTTAGAATATCAAAGTACCGCTTTTCAATTTTTTGGTCTTAGGCTGACCGGTAAACATGAAACCAGCTCTTACGACAAATTCAACTGGGGTGTGGCTAACCGAGCAGCATCTGTTCGCCTACCACGCAGCGTTGCTCTCAATAAAAAGGTGAAAGGTAAGAAGTCATAAGCAAAGGTTAAAACATTATTTCAGGGTTACTTGGAAGACCGCCGGCCCTCGTCGAACTGTGATCCTTATCAAGTTACACGAATGCTTGCCGAAAGTATTCTCTTAAGATAAACTCGGTTTTCTGCTGTATGACATTTCACGCCTAAATAAGATGGCTATATTGTCAAAAAAAGAAACATACTTGAATTGAAAGAGCTTCTCATGGACCTGTCAGAGTTTGCAAGTGTTGCCGGTTGAAAAACCGAGCACCAAATACGTTCATCATTAAACATAATCTGATTTGATTAGTTGTTAGAAGATGTGCTTCAAGGACAAGGGGAAACGAACAGCTTCAAATGAGCGTCCGTTTTTGAGTTAAAACGTTAGACCGGTCTTCAACACAGGCGAGTGGATGTCACTTTCCCTTCTTTTATTGATTTCAAGCTGAATTTGATTAGTTATACTAAACTATTTTTCCAGTCAACGCTCATTTCAGATGCGTTCATTGAAAGAGCATCTATGGTGCATTCATCCATATGACAATTAATTTGTTCAAAGGGCCAGGCATACTTTACGCGATTTCAGTCGCGACGC